ATTAATAAATAACTCGTAAAATAGGAGAAAAACCGGGATACACAGATAGATAGATAAATAGTAATTAGTGTTATAGTAAGGAAATAAGAAATTAAGAATTAAAATTTGTAAGTAAGCGAGTAAGCCATTAATCAATCATATTTTATTGGGATAGCTAGAATACTATCTATAGCCCGGCCGCCGGCCGGCGTTATTGCCCAAACGTGACGTCACACGCTACATTATGTTGGCGTCAAGATATTTACCGTATGCCGCGTCTATTAGCTTATATGGTCGAAGGTTGTAAGAGTAAGACCCATACAAGTACGTATGTTAAGTAAAAATGTTTAAGTTTAATGGTTAAAGTATTAAATCTGAGGATGCGAAAAAAATAATATCATGATATCTATGTCATGGGTGAATGCGATAAATCTCTAAGACCTTATAATTATTTATAATTACTCATATAATAATTTGTATAAAAGAATTAATCTATGGCAACAGCCAACAAATAAATAATTTCATAAAAAGCAGTATATCAACATCTAGTTAGGATGAGCGGCGAATATGATGATGCGTCATAGCATTCGTAACCGCACAAACAGAATTTTCACTAGAAGAATCAATATTTTTGTAAGTTTTTTTATATTCTTTTATTGCGGATGGTATATCTAATACATTTGAAATATTTCGAAACGAACAATAAGTGTTGCAAATACCGAAGCGCGCAATGCACGAAGCAACTATACAGCAGCTCAGCGTTTTTCGAATTTGATTTTTATTCATAAACTTTATGAAATCAAGGCATAATGTACACCGTTGCTTATTCATAGAATATTAATAAAAAAATTTGTTAATAATATTATAAACAGTATGAACACCCTTATGCCCCTTAAAATTCAGCAATTGTTATTAATAATTTACGCGTACATTTTATTCTGAACAGAAAGTTTTCAGATAAATTCCCCCCCCCCACGAGGGGGAATATATAAACTTAGGTACATATAATTGACATTTTTGAAATCAGATCACGGGATAAGTTGGAACAATAGATTTAAAATTTACAAAAGAATAACAAGTATTACATTACGAAACAATTTAATAAATAATAATAATATGTCAGTTCGAGTAAATTGACAATTATAGGTTTTTTTTTTTATTTGCTTTTTAAATTATTGGTATTATTAGTTTTAATTATAGTCAAAACTATTCAATTCTAATTTTTTATTTTTAACATTGAAATTAATTCATTTATTAATATTTAATAGAGTATTATTTTTTTGGCCAATAAAAAATCAACAAAAATATTGTTGTTATGTATTTGATTAGTATGAAATATTTTTGTCAGTTTGGGCTGTATGTCGAAGTTATCGGCCTCGGCAACCTGTCTTGTTTCGTCACGGCTACCATCACAGGTATCCTGTTCCGGGTTGTGGGTGTCCACTATCCAGGTTAACACCAGCGACCCCATAATGCACATGTTGGGCATAGAAGTGCATCGCCTCCACGTCGAACGATCCACGATGTCTTGGCTCACCTGGACAGGCCGAACATCAGCTGGAATCTCCAGCACTGGCAGCAGAGTGGACGTACAAGTATCCATTTCTGCATACTTGTCTCATCCACGAGAGGAGAATATACAAATTTTGTCTACCATAGACATATATAAAGGCGGAACTCCCGACCCGCTTAGTTCATATATAGTTACGGGCTTGCTGGTCATTCATACTTCATTTCGTTCATGCAGTCCAGCAAACACTCTTCGACATCAGACAAACCTGTTTGGTTTTTCACCGCACTTACCGAAATCATGTGGGGTACAGTGTTACACAGTTTTAGACGGCTGCTCGGCCGATGGAAAACAGATTTTGGCGTCGTCCAGCAGTTTCAATAGGTTGATGGAAGAGCATGACGATATTCGGTATCGATTTATAATCACGAATCAATGGCCTGGACCCATTTCTCAACGGTGTTTTTGCTGGTTTGTAGAACTTGGTCGAACGGAGATCCGCAAATACTTTTTGCATCAGTCCAGTCTTAGCTAATAGCTACATAGCAGATTAATCTTCAGGCGTCATCATAAATAAAGTATACGAATATAATGTTTCTATGATAACTGATGAAAATATAATAAAACACACAAGATGCTATTGTAACATATTATACAGTTTATGAGTTAATGATTATAAATTGATTATATAAATGTCCAGTGACAAATTACCCTTCTTCAATTACAGTATACAAGGAAAATTAATATCTAAAAAAAAACATCAAATTATTCTTTTTAATTGTTTTATCTTTTATGTGGATCTGAATGAGAAAATAAATATGAATGTTCCTTTCAATAGTTTTTTCTAAAAATATGTTCCTAATTTTTAATAGGTGATGTGATTTTATTCTAATATTGCTTAAAAATAGTAAAATTGATTTGACGTGAAAACGTTTTCTCATGTAATACCAGACCTACGCGTGTGAGAAAACAATATTGTACCTTTAACAACCACTTAAAATTCTGTTCAGTATAGTGGTTAAGGCTTTTTTGAAGGTAKCTGGTATACTACTATGATAGATTTTTACAAAAAATCTATAATTCTCATTTCCTTAAACCAATTCCTATCTACGCAACTATTGATTAAGAGGATAGAGGATGTCAGCACACTATTTGTTTTCTCTTTTTGGCTCACTCGTAACATAGACAAAACGTATTTACTAAGAATCATTTTTTCTATGTCTTTAAGTAATTTTAGAGTAAACCTTCCATTACAAAAAAGATAAAGAATAATATTTTTGAGGGAATGACATATCGATTTTATATTTTATTGACATTTGACTCTGTATTTGACTTTCAAAATAAACAAAAAAAATACTGTACATTTAAATAATGTTTAAATTATTTAGAGACAATATTTAGACAAATCGATATGTCATTCTCTCAAAAATATTATTTTCTATCTTTTTTTGTAATGGGAGGTTTTACTCTAAAATTACTTCAAGATATAGAAAAAAATGATTCTACGTATATATGCGTTTTGTCTATGTTACGACTTTACGAGTGAGCCGGAAAGTGAAAACAAATAGTGCGCTGACATCCTCTTAAGTTGTCCGTAACATTTTAAAATGTTATGCTAGACTGCCATACTTATTACTTAAGATATCTGATTAATATTACAGATTTAGCGTCAAAAAAAAATTCATTTTGATAATATCAATGATAAAAGTTAATTAATTTAGGTGACTATTGTCCATATAAATTTATACAGTAAAATTATCTTATTATAAAAAAGGTTGTTTGTGTGATACAACATATAAATAAATAATGRTTTTATGCCGAGTGGCGTTTGGTCGGTTTATGATGATGGTGTTTTATCGAATGACTTTTCATTGTTATCACGTGTCTTTATGTCGTGTGGTTATTAATGTTCGGGTGATATTTTAGTGCGCCACGAAAAATTCTGAAGAATTTAGAAATATGGTTTTAGTATTTAAAATTTTCAAAAATCGGATTTTGAATAAATGTATTATTAAAGGAAAA